TTTAATAAATCGATGTTAGTCAGTGCTCGATGTGGTAGCTCTACTGGTTTTTTGACTTCTTGTAACCCGCTCCCTCTGGGTATGGTTTCAGATAAAGTCCCATACCATTGCGGTAAGGTTTGAGGTATAATCCTCTACCTACAGCTATTTCCTCCATCTTCAAGTTGTGACGTTTCTTTTCAGCTAGTTGATGTTTGTCTGCGCTTGCATCGTTCACAGCTTTTGCAACGCCTGCAGCTCCACCTGTCAGAGCACCAACAGCTGATAACCCTGCGAACAGGGGAATCAAGAATGGAAGTACTCCTCCAATCTTTGATGGAACTGGTAGAATACGAGGCAATCGTATGTTTTTCTTCCCACCAGCTTTCTTGACAGCCCTGCGGGCACCTTCAAGAGCTGTTTTAACTGGATCTCCACCAGGCTGCATGGACTTTTTAGCTCCATCAACAATCTGTCTGAGAGCAACATCCTTCTTCTTGGAAGTTTTAACTGGCTTACTCTTGGTTGTCATCCGCTTGGTAATTTTTCTTTTAACATTTTCATTCTTTTCTAATCCCATACCGAAACGTCTTTTTAACTTCATAATTTTATTTACACTCCAAGCAGCAGCTTTTTCACCAATAGCAGCGTCTCTCGCTTGAAATCGTTGCCACGCTTTCTCAGCAAGAATTTTATCAGCCTCGTGAAGAGCTTCCAAATTTTCACGATTTTTCGAGTAAGCTATATCGTGTTCCTTACAAGCAGCGTCCAAAGGATTTATACCTGAATCACCTCGAGCTAATCTCTTGGCTAACTTTGTACCCGGACCGCAGTACTGATAACCTGGTATGTGAAGTTCAAGTGGGAGCTTGTTGATTATATTGTTGAACAAACCTTTACCACGTCTGCTCTCAGACATGTCACATCAAAGACTGACTTGATAATCTATATAAGCTGGTATATAGTAAAAATTATCCAATAACTCCGGGGATGTTGGACTTATTATTTAGAAAATCGCCAGATGATGCACTCATCACCCCAGGTGATAAGGATAAGTACTTGGATATAATTCAACATACCAACACTCATAGGAAAAATTATGATTCAAATCGTTCCATTTATGAAGATATAACAATAAAGTACAATAAATACGTTGCTGATTTTCTCACTAAGTTCGGTAAAGGGTTACCAAAATATATGATTGCAAGAAAACAGAGATTACCAATGGATTATGTTTACTGGGATGATCCAAATGAGCTAGTTGATCGTTTGCGACTACTGATGGCATCTCAAGCTGCTGGAAACCCAAGTCACACGAATGCAATTATGTCAATTATTGAAGAGCTTAGGGAGGCCGGGGTTATATATTAAAAGCTTCTAGAAAATAATACCATTCACACGCTGACAGTCAAAGTGTTATGAACTATGAGCATCGATATATTTGGACGTCTTCTGGACAATGACAAATCGGTTCAACGATGTCCAGCTGGTAGAGGTTTCAATATAACTTCTGATGGAAACTATAACATTGAGAGTAAAAGGCTGTGCAATCTCGGTAATCCTTCAAATGAACATGATGCGGCGACAGTGCAATTTGTACTGAGACAGATGTCTGACTTGAATAAAAGCATAGACAGTGAACAGAAAGAGATTATTTCACATTTGCACTCTGAAATAGTAATATTGAAAGCTGCTGTGACAAATTTGCAGACAGCTACTGAGGAAGCTAAAGCAATACTTTCCTCTCACCAGAATAATATCAAATATCTCACTGTGAAACTCAATGAACGACAAAAAGGCAGTGATAGCTGAAGAGCTTCACAAACCAGCTCGTAGAACACTTAAAACTAAAATGTGGCGAGAGTTTACAGCTCGTGGCAGCTACAAGTGGACCGATATACTTGATGACTTGGTGAATACTTACAACAACACCATACACAGTACCATCAAAATGAAACCTGTCGATGTTACCACTGCTCAGGAGAAACAACTATTGGAAAATATATATTAACTACTGAAAACCAAATCGAAGCAGAAGCAGAAGTTCAAAGTTGGAGATAAAGTCCGAATCAGCAAGTACAAGCATGTTTTTGACAAAGGATACACACCAAACTGGACAACAGAAATCTTCACAATCAAGTCGGTGCAGAATACGAATCCAACGACGTATAAGCTCGTGGACTATCAGGATCAACCAATCGAAGGCGGATTTCACAACGAAGAACAGCAAAGTCAAATATCCAGATGTATATCTCGTTGAAAAAGTAATTAGAAAACGTGGAAATAAATACTATGTTAAATGGCTAGGTTTTGATACTAAACATAATAGTTGGATAAATAAATCTGATATGTAAAACACAAATTATATTTACATTGTTTTTATTCACAAAACCTTAATACATAAATCCTTAAAACTATATTTACATTGTTTTTTAATATTACAAATTTTTTTGTCTTTTATTATTATTATTTTCATCGTTATCTTCAACAAGTTTTCGTTTCTTAAAATCTAAGGAGCCTTTATAACCCCAAGGCACAGTATCAGTGCTTGCTTCAATGAGTTGACGTTTGTCGTCAGCCCAACTGAGAGCATGTTTCTTTTGCTTTATTGTGTGTACTTGATGTTTTTTACTTTTAATCATGTACTGCTCTTTTCTTAATAATACATTTTCAAAAAGACATCTTTTGAAGTCATCAAACGTGATGGTCTTCAAGGCTGAACTTCCGATACCCTTTGTCCGTTTCTTTATCCTGTCTTTTTCCTTCTCAGGATCATGAATTTCGAAGGCATACAATTTGGCTCTGAGACCCACGAACTCGGACATGATTTTTCCATTGTTCTCGTCCTTCATGAGTCTCAGAACCTTTTTATTGACAAGAGGCATGTTGAAGACATTGTTAGGCGGGTAATCGGAGGTATCAAACCGTGAGATATCACGTTTGATGTCTTCATAGATGTTGGGTACATTAAATTGGTAAATTAAACTGTCTGTGTCAGTGTACAATAGTTTTGAATCTTTTTCATAATTTTTTATCACATAATTGTAGTGAAAGTCATGGATATAAGTTTTAGATAAATCTAATATACTAAATCCTACATAAATTGGTTTGTTGAAGCAAACTCTTAGTTGTTTTAGTTCAACTATAATCATATCTTCATCAAAAATAGTGAGATTATGAAAGTTTGGTCTGCACACTAGATCGGATACATTGTATCGACCTTGCCACTTTGTTCGAAGCCAAACTTCTTTGTATTTTCGTACATTCTCCATCGTCTTTCCGAAAACCGCATTATTCATTAGTTTATAAAAATTTTTTTCAAATTCATTTTTTGCAAGCTTTCGACATTCAGTATTCTTATCAATATATGATTTGAGCCAGTCTGATTGCTCAAATTTCAAGACTCGATGTATTTTCTTAAGAACTAAACCTAAATCTAAACATTGTTTCAAATTCTTATAATGAATAACATAATTATTTTTATCATACAGAGTTGTTGTCAGTTTTTGTTGTTTGCTACCAGGTGGTATAAAATGTTCAGGGCATAAGGGTAGATCTTTATGTAGATCATGTAGTTTCTCAGGATAGTGTAGATCTACTTCAAGGATGTAGCCTACACTTTCATCATCATTGAAAAACTGATCTGCATCATCTACATTTTCAACCCATTCAAATTTACCCTTAGGTAAAGACATACTCATCCCAGCACCATATAAATTATTTACATCATAATACATCAGGTATGATTCAGGGTTGTTTGAATCAAAATCTTTACCCATGTACCGGTTGTTAGCTTCAGCGTGTCTATTAGCACACATCGATACCTCACCACGTACACCCTTTTCAATGAAAAGAAGCATCTCAGGATCAGTAAATAGTTCAAGTTCTACACCGGTATGCTTTAACATTGCTGAGTTCGAAAGACCTGGTGCTGTATGAAAATGTAGAGCATCTAGATTGTATGTTTTAAAGCAACTACGTCTAAAGTTTTCAAACACATCAGCCAAGAGAAGGACATCAGTCTTTAAGTATAAGTCCGAGTACTCTCCAAGCGTGTTAATATTAAATTCATTCCAAACTACTTGAGCAAAAGCATAATCATCATCAGAAAGAGTTGAGTTTGTTAATTTTGAATAAAATGAATCCTGGTCAGGTAACTGTTTCTCGTCTAGTCTGTCAATACTGTCAATGTACTCATACGGGAATACACCCTTACGTATTGCTAATTTGAATTTGTCAGGGTCAGGGTAGTGGAGTCGCGTAATCTGTTTGTCTTTGTCATCAAGGTATGAAGCTAATTTTTCTAAACTGGAGGCCATAAATCTAAAAGAGTCAATAAATCTTAAAGAGACTGAAGTATTTTTAACTGATTTTGTGAAAGAAATGTAACGCTCTTTATTGATCGGTAGTAATGAAATTTCACCTTCAAATACTGTAGCTAAGGATTTAATTATGAAGTGTGAGTCATAGCCGGATAAATTATGAAAGACAACTGAGATAATTGTAGATTTCTGATAATTAACATTGCATGATTTATGAGCAGCATCTCTGTAGTTACCGGTAAAGTGACAATGATCATAGACTTTATCTGTCGTAGAAGTGATTGGTTTCTCGCAAATATGACACACAGTTGCCTGGTTGTGTCTACCTTGTTGCTCTTTCGTTAAGGGTTTCATTTTTATAGGGTTCTTTAGAATTTGTTCAAAGTTCAGAGCTAATGACTCTAATTGTTTAGCAAACCAGTTGATGCAATCAGGAGAACGGTTTAATTGGAATCTAGACAGTGTGTTATCATAGCTGCAATGTACATAGTAAGCAATACTGTGTGGAACATGTTTATGAACTATCTTTTCATCATCCCCCGGGGGTTCGAGTGTGCATTCAAGATCCGCGTAAACTACAAACGGTACAGTATCTTTGGACTTAAAATCTTTAAATTTCAAAATTTTATTTTTTTCACTAAGAAAATCCATGCGGACTTTGTTAGTTTTAAAACAATCTACTCGGTGCTCTAAATAACATTTTTCTAGTTTAAAATGATTCAAACACCGATCACAAAAGTACAATTTATGTCTACCTAGAGATATTTGACTTGTAATTAATCCAGAAAGATTATGTATCCATGCAAAGTGATAGACAGACTCAATATTATCTAAATTATTAGTGTAATTAACACTTTTTTTAATCATTAATAAATGAATCGTTGGTATTTTCGACTCGAAGTTACTTAAATATAATGGTATAATGGTGCTTTTTTCAGACTTTTTACCCATGAATTCAGAATCTATACCATATACGTTAATGCTAAGATAATTCATTTTTTCAAATTTCGGGATGTCATTAAGCTTAATTGGAAATTGAATACCTTCATAATTTAATCTGACGCTGAAGTGACGATAACTTGAAGGGTCAGCTGGAACCAATACTGGTGGATGCAAGGTGGCGTTGACACACCACAGGAAGCAGAACTCATCATCGTTCTGGATGTTCGTAACCGCACGCTTCTTCTTGACAATATCCTTGGGCAATCTGACGAAGGTGGAGTTCCCAACTTGAGTTGGTGCGAATCTTGACATAGTCACCATCAAGCTGTTCAGTCCAAGCAGACTCCATCCGGAACCCTCATGTTCAAAATCTTCAATTCGCTGCTTCAACTTCTCATACACATGCTCAGTGTACCAATCCTGAAGAGATGTGGCAGGGAGAATCTCACGGCTTTTGGTGATGAAAGATTTTCGTTCTTCTATGTCTTGTTGATGTTTCCGGAATGTGCAGAAGAATTCCACATTCACTTTCAGCCCTGCCAGATCTCTCAAGACACTCTGTACCTTGTTGATGATGATGTCCCGTGAGGCCTGGAGAAATGATGCTGGATCTTTGTGACGTTGGTTGATGACACATCCAGTCTGGATGTTACCAGCGAAAGCATTCTCCAGGTTCTGCCATTTAACTCCTTGGTTGAGGTCTCCACCAACTACTTGGTTACCGAGTCTGGAGAACTGATCGGCAAACCAGTTAAGTTGGTTGATGTGTGCTTAAACACTTCGTCTCACTTGAATTGTTGTCCCAGGATCCAGTAATATTGTGTTGAAGTACTCAATGGTATCGTTGCACACTCGTGAACACCTTTGACGATGTTCATCAGTAAGCTGCTCTCCCAACAGATCAGCATATGAGGTTGCAATAGTATCCACCAAGTCTTTTAGAGCCTCTATGAGGTTATGTTGCGCCATTTTGGAAAGATACGTACTTCATGACTGTCTATTTACACAATATTGTAGGTTATGTACACTTTTTATAGGTTATGTACACTGTTTATAGGTTATATACACTGTTTGTAGATTATATACACTGTTTGTAGGTTATATACACACTGAATTTACATGAGACTATACTTTATACACGCAAAAAAGTTTTTGACACACTGAACTACAGTTTATGCATACAATAATTTTCGTAAACTTTATACTCGCGTACTTCACAACACTGAACTTCACTATATTTTGTAGCACTGAATACTATTGATCACGAGAGATGTTTCACTGGAGACGTGTACTTCGTTTTTGTGAAGTTCGCTCTCGGCGAGCTGCTTATATAGGCAGAAAATACTGCGTAGTTACCCCCACTCCTCTACCTCAAAACCGGTTCGATGACGTCATCTGCTGCGCAGTAAGAAAATTCTAGAACAGAATAAGTCATCTACTGCGCTTTTAGAAATAGAACAAAGAAAACTACGCAGTTACGTGACCTTGAACAGGTTCAAACCTGTCTGATGACGTCATCTACTACACAGTTAGGAAATTCTAGAATGGTATGAGTCATCTGATTCGTGGAAATTTTCCCCACTTCTTTCACAAAACAAGTCTAAACCTGTCTGATGACGTCATCTACTACGCAGTTAGAAAATTCTAAAACAGAATTAGTCATCTATTACACAGTTAGAAAAAGAACAAAAAAAACTATGCAGTTACCGTGACCTTGAACAGGTTCAGACCTGTCAGATGACATCATCTACTGCGCAGTTAGGAATAGAACAAAGAGAACTACGCAGTTACCGTAACCTTGAACAGGTTCAAACCTGTCAGATGACGTCATCTACTACGCAGTTAAAAGTAATGCAAGCTGCCACCAGATGGCGCTGCGTAAAATCCTTCTCGCAAGTAGTTGTCATAACTTCATTTTAAATATATAAAACGTGGATATATCATACCCCAAATGCGTAATCCTGAACTATTGATCTGTAATGGCAAGCCTAAAAGCAGGTTAATAGTTGAGGATGCTTTTTTCTAACCTCAAAACGTTGAATTCAGATTCGAAATGGTGGAAACCAGATTCAAAATGGTGGATAGCAGCCACCAGATGGCGGATTTCAGACTCAAAATGGCGGATAGCGGCCACCAGATGTCGGATTTCGGGCTCAAAATAGCGGATTTCAGATAGCAAATTCAAAATGGCGGATAGCAGCCACGAGATGACGGATTCAAAATGGCGGATTTCAGATAGCAGACTTAAAATGGCAGATAGCGACCACCAGATGGCGGATTTCGGGCTCAAAATGGCGGATTTCAGACTCAAAATGGCGGATAGCGGCCACGAGATGACGGATTCAAATAGCAGATAGATTTAAAAAAATGGCGGGAAAATGGCGGCGGAATTCACCACCAGCACCACCTACAACCAAGTCGATAAAAAACCTCGTCCATAACCTCAAAATGCCGGTAAAACATGCCATCCATATCCATGGCAACACCTACTGTCGGTAAAACAGGTCGTCCATGTCGACGGACGGTACTTAGCATTGACACGAACCCACAAATCTGTTTTGCCGACTTAGTATTACCCCCCTGACACACTACTTTTGAATTTCTGTTATTCTTAAATAATATAATTCAATTCTCGATTTTTGGAAATTTTTTTTTTGTTAAATTTTTTTGGGTATCCTTCTTTTTCTCTCAAACTCTTTTACTTATTTTAAAAAGTAATATCGTACAAAATGTGACGATTTATTATTTTTTTAACAAGAAATTTTTTCACAGAGTATTGACTATTCATCTTATCGTAACATTTGATATACATTTAGTCGCACAGAATATGCCGAAATTAAAACGTCAAAGTGAAAGTCAAAGAAGAAAAAGAAAATTAAATGATATGCAGCAGAGAAGGAAAGAAGGAAGTAATTTTATGATTAACACTCATAATAAAAACATGAATGAAGAAGACTGTAGTAGTCGAATATCTTCAAAATTAAGGCAAGAAAAATATCTCTCGCTGAAGAAAAATGCAATGAAACATAAAAATAGAATGAAAAAATATCATGCTTCCTTAAATTTTAAAGAAAAACATAAAATTTATGAGAACTTTATTTTTTAACAAATATAAATAATGCTGTGAAGCGGAAAAGAATAGGAGTTACGGATAATTATGACGTGAAGCGTTCCAACATTCACGTAACAGGATAATTGGTAGGAAAGGAATGAGAAAGGATTATGGAGAGGAACTTCTTAATGTGAGTGTATAGAATATGTGAGAAAAAAATTATTAGATAGCTCGGACTGGGATTCGAACCCAGAACCTTCCGAAGACATGTCGGCTACTCTACCATTTGAGCTATCCGGTCTATACTAAATTTCCTTTCACTTATTCTATATACATTAAGCCACACCGTCCATCTTACGGTTAGGATTTTTAACAAATATAAATAATGCTGTGAAGCGGGAAAGAATAGGAGTTACGGATAATTCGACTTTTCATATGGTTATAGCTTTGCCTGAAAAAATTAATTTATTTATGAATTTTTATTATTGCGCGGGAAAAGTTCAAATTTTAAGTTTAAAATGTACAAGTATTTTATGAATACAAAAAAAAAAAATTTTATATATTAAATTATCATACAATCTTTCATGTGTGTGTTTGAAAAATACTTTTTTAATTAATTTTCTTTATTAACCAGTCTAATTATCCGTAACTCCTATTCTTTTCCGCTTTACAGCATTATTTATATTTGTTAAAATATATTAGCTTATATTTTAGATTATTAGATAGCTCGGACTGGGATTCGAACCCAGAATCTTCCGAAGACATGTCGGCTACTCTACCATTTGAGCTCTCCGGTCTATACTTTATTCTATATACGGTAAGCCACACCGTCCATCTTACGGTTAGCATTTTTAACAAATATAAATAATGCTGTGAAGCGGGAAAAAATAGGAGTTACGGATAATTATTACGTGATAATTATTCGTTTATTAAAATTTAATGAATATAAAAAACATTTATTTACATTAAAAACTTCTCAAAAACGAAAATTAAGATCCAAAACATAGAAAAATCCACAAAAATAGGTTAAAACTAAGTCAAGAAAAAAGACTACAAGATCCTCAACAAAGAAAAATCCATCAAGAGAGATTAAAAGAAGCTCAAAGACAAAGGCTACAAGATCCACAACAAAAAAAAATTCATCAAGATCGTTTAAAAGAAGCTCAAAAACAAAGATTACACGATATAGAACAAAAAAAAATACATCAAAATCGTTTGAAAGAAGCTCAAAAACAAAGATTAAAAGATTTAAATAAAAGAACAATACATAGGTTAAGAATCAATTTGGCACAAGAACAACGATTGGAAAATCACGAAAAAAGACAGGTACATCGAGAAAGATTAAAAAAAGCTCAAGAAATCAGACTACGAAATCCAGAATTGCGAAGAAAACATAATGAAATCAATAAATATTGTCAAGATAATCGATTACTAGATAACAACAAAAAAGCGATTCATAATCAAAAAAGTAAAATCTATCAGAAAAAAAGATTACTTAAACCTGAAATGCGAGGAATACATAATGAAAGATTAAGAATATCCCAACAAGATAGATTAACTGATGAAGAACAAAAAAAATTACATAAATATCGTGTTCAAAAAAGTAAATTAAGGAAAATAATATATATAAAGAAGAAAATCAACGTCGAAATTTTTTTAATAAAATCAATTTATTGAAATTAGAAGGCCCGACAAACGAATGCTCATCTTGTTGCCGTCTGTGGTTTAAAACTTCCGTAAAATTTTTTACTAAAAATGATTTAATTCAGTGTAAATTATCATTTATAAAATCTACTTGTAAAATGCTAAACACAACAACAATAGGATTTTTATGTACAAGTTGTGAAAAAGCAATAAAAAAAAATGAAATTCCAACTTTATCTCTACATAATAAAGAGTTAATTTTTCCAAAAGTACCAACAGAAATTTCAACTTTAACCGTCTTAGAAGAACGATTTATTTGCCCTCGAATTCCTTTTATGATGATTAGGGCTGTAGTTAATGGTGGACAATATTTTGTTAAAGGACGAGCTGTAAATGTACCAACAAATGTTGAGACTTCTGTAAGTATTCAATCAGAGGCCATGCTTATTCCAATATGCTTTCGACGAAAAAAATCATTCAAATCTAATGTTATGTTCGAAAACGTTCGACCAAAAGCTATAGAAAAAGCTGCTAATATATTAAAAAATTCAGAAGTTTACCAGCATTGTAAAGTTAAATTGGATTTCTCGAGAATTAACAATATTAATACTTATCAATTCAATGATAAAGTTAATAATAATAATAATAATAATAATAATAATAATAATAATAATAATAATAATAATAA